TTTGAAGACAGACATTCTGTACCTTACCTAGGGACATGTTTCAGCATTAGATAGTGCTGATGGCTGCATAAAATAATGGGAAAAAATACCACTGAAATATTTGTTTAAAGTGGTGAATTTCATGTTATGTAAAGCACACATCTGTAAAAATAATTCCATATCTATAAATATATAAGAAACATGGTATAAGTAAAATCAGTCTCTGTACCATGATGGTCGGTGGTCAGGACAGAGAAACCCTTTGCACTGATTCTGTCAGCTTGCATATGTATGTGCCAGGGACTTGTTCCATAGGAAAGGCATCTCCACCTGTGGATATCTGGTGCTACTGGAAAGAAATGACAGCATTATTAGAAGGAATTCTGCGATGACGGTGATGATGATGATGATGATGTTTATAGCTAAATAACAATTAGGTGCCCGGCACTGTTTTGAGCATGGTACACATTCTTCTTCATTTACTCTTCATAACAATTCTATGACCACAGTTCTCAGACTTGAGCACATACCAGGATCACCTGGAGAGCTTGTGAAAAGCGATTGCTAACCTCTATCTTAAGAGTGGTTCAGTGCCTCTGGGATAAGGTTCCTGAACTGGCTTTTCTAACAAGTTCCCAAAAGTTGCTAATGCTACTAGGGGACCCACTTTGAGAACCACTGCCCTAAGAGAGAGGTGCTATTGTACACCCATTTTACAGATGAGAATGCTCCCAGCTGTGGGGCATGAAAATATCAAGGGTGGTGCTAGGTTCCTCTCTCCAGTGAAGAAATAACTGAAATGTGCTTTAGGTCAGCAGGACTTAAGTGGCAAGCTGGACTCTGGATACCAGGGGCATCAAGAAGAATGAAATGTAGGCACTGAGGCTATCATGAGAAACAGCACCAAAGCTCCCCAGGGCCAGGTTCTCGACTTTGACGCTGGCTTACCTGGTGGCATGCTGAAAGGAGGAAAATACAGGTAAGCTACTCAGAAGGCAAACTGCTGGCCACAGTGACTGGGCCTCTGCTTCTCCCCCTACCAGCTTCCAGGAGGGCTATTTGCCCTGGGCCTCCTGGGTGTTTCTTTCCCTTGATTGTTTCTCACAGGTAAAGTCTTTACACCTTACCTGTGATAATTCAATGTCACTTTTGTAAGCCTAACACTTACATGATTTTGCCTCAATGACAATGTCAGTTATCTAAAAAAGAGGTTCACTTTTTCACCAATTCTGAAGACACACATAAAACATTCTTTTAAAAAATTTGAGACCACAAAATGAAAATAGAGCTACATCATCAAGTATCTCTATCCTCTACATGATCACCTCAAAAACTAAAACAGAAAACCTTCTCCATACAAAGTTTAGAATTTTACTGACTATTCTGTTGGTTTATGTGTGTGTTTTTTTCCTCATGTCCTCTGTGTCCCAATAACCCCAGTGGTTGCTGCCTCCCTATCCCGGTTTCATTGTCCTCAAAGCAGACCTGTAGCTATGGGTAAAGCACAGCTAAACTTTATTCTCAATTCCATAGGACCCACTGAGGAACTCACATAATCCACCCTCTGAATGATGAACCCTGCTAACATGGCCAGATGAAACAGCGTATGCGAGCTCAGCATAGAACACAATTCTAATCCAAGGAAGCAACAACTACTTCCCTTAAATGATTTGTTTAATAACAACATCCTGTGCCCAGCTGGTGGTCTCCCACTCTGGAAGGAGACATCATTGGATGGCAGAACACACAGGTCAAATTTGCAGAAGAGATGCCCTGGCTTCTAAAGGAGTGTTTATGGATTATAGAGGTGGGGTGGGGATGAGGAGTGTAGAGAGAAGTGCCACAGGTCAGCTTCTTTGTTACCTTGCTCCAAGATGCTTGCCATCATTTTAATGGCATAAATCTACAATGGTCTGTGCCCACTGCTATAAAGCCAAAAGTGGATTTGCTGAATATGGTAATTCTATGTTTAATTTTTTCTATGTTTTCCACGGTAGCTGCACCATTTTATGTTTCTACCAGGATGATACAGGGAGGGATCCAATCTGATATTATTTATTTGCCGGTATTATGTGAGTTATTTTTTATTAATCCTTTTTCATTGGGCACATCCTTTGATGGACTAAAGTTTTTAATTTTGATGAAGTTTGATTTACCTATTTTTTTGTTTGGTTGCCTATTCTTTTGGTGTCATAACCAAAAAAAAAAAATTACTAAGTTCAATATAATGAGATTCTTTTGTGTTTTCACCTGAAGTTTTATAGTTTTAGCTCTTATGTTTGGGTCTTTGATCCATGTTTGTGTTAATATTTGCATGTGGTATAAGGTAAGGGTCCAACTTCATTCTTTTTCATGTTAATATCCCATTTTCCCAGCATTATTTGTTGAAATGACCATTCTTTCCTTTTGAATGGGCCTGGCAATCTCATACAATTTTTAAATTCAAATCATTAAAATTTTTATCTTAAGGGCTTTGAGGAAACAGAAGCTCAAACATAACTGGAGGCTGAAGCTCTTAAAGGATTGTAAAATTATGTTGTATTTAACATGACTGAAGGTTAATTTTTTTTATTATACCATGGAGTTCAACACAATCAATCATTCAAAAAATATAAGTTCATATTCTAATATACAGTTCTACAGTTACCCTTGGGTCACAGTTGTGTAAGATCGCACAGGGCGGGAAAACCTGCTACTGCCTGAACAACTGCACCTTAATCAAAAGCCTCACAGGAGGCTTTGTGGCAGGTGCTGCTACAAAGAATGGCATCTCCTCAGTTTCTGGAATGTGACGCAATGCACTGGAGAAAGTATGGACTTTTTCTTTACCAAATGTGGCCAAATCTATAAGAACACCAAGAAATACCTAAATGCAAGAGAAATATGGGAGAATGTTATTTAAGCAAGAAATTGTATCATTCAAGTATACAGAATCTGTTAAATAATGTATTACAGAAAGATGCATCATACTATTTTGTTCCTATTCTTACTCTTCTATCTACATTTCTTTGTCAGATAACTTAAATTAATACTATTATTAAAAAGGTCACATTTTAGTCAAATGACCAATCCTTAGCTCTGCCTCTGATAAAATGCAGTTGATAGGTGTCCTGATTCCTATTTAAAATGCAGCGTCTGTGAAAGCATATTCTTGCATGCAGTTGTCTAGATTTCTTTTGCTCGCTAGTAGAATGAGACATAATTCTTTATCCTAACTTTGGAAATTTTAAACTGTAAGGGAATGAACAAATCTAGGGTGATGGTATTTGAGAGCTTAAGACCACTTAACACCTTTTCCACCTTTCCCCAACATAATAACCTCCTCCAATTTGTTTAAATTCAATGAACCAAGAATTACTCTTTTAAAAGTAACCTATTTGTAAAGTTGTTTAATACCAGTTATAGTTTCATGGAAAAGAGCCTTGATATTTGTATGAAGGCACTTATAAAATAATGGACTTTTCTGAGTTATTTACAGAAACATGTGGTTTAATAGAAGAAGGAAAGTAGAAACTGTTTTTATCTCCCCACTGCCTGTGTTTTGGATTTATTGTCTTCCTCAATGATCTTTTCTTAAGATTTAATATAATAAATTTGCTTAAGTGACTTTTACTTCAATGAATTTTGCTTTAATTTACATTTAATGTCAGGATTTAAATGACGGTTTGTAAAAATACTTCAAATGGAGGAAAATATATTTATATATTAAATATTAAAGTACATAATAAAGAATTTAATAAACAAAAACCAGAAACATTGTACGTTTGTCCTTTTTTATTTATAGAAATAAAACAGTGCTTTTCTGTAGAGTTAAACAGTCAACCCATTCATTAAGTAAATCAATCAACAAGAATTCATTAAGCTCTGGTCTTGTGTTCATTATCTATCCCCTGCATGACGTTCTTTCAGCATTTCGTTAGACACAATCTACATGTCCCTTTTCTAACAGTTTCTTAGTCTCAGCCTTTCCATTTAATATCTAAACTTAATATAGTAATCTTGCAGCCCGCCCCACAGTTCGCTGTGGAATAAACAGGAACGACTAGACTCAAGTTTATTGTTCTCGGCACTCCAAAGATTTTAACCAGAACTAAAAGACAGGCAGGGTTACACTGAAAATCCACTTTGAGCGTCTTGCAAACTTTTTTTCGTAAACCGCTCGCTGAGCGCAAAAATTCGGAGTGTTGAGTTGATCGAGGTCCCTAGGGCGGCGCGCCCCGCCCTTAGCGCTGTCCCAATGCCCTCAGCTTGCTTCCTCCAACTGGCCACGGAGGTAGGTACCATCTGCCTTACAGCAGGTTGGGACCCAGCCTAGTCTGAGCTAGGAGTCCCGGCACTGAAAGGCTCCGCCCACAGGCCGGCTTAGCCAATCTCGGCGCGGAGTGGCTGTGGGGGCGGGGTTGGGTCAGACCGAATCCGGGGCCTTTAAATGGATGGCCTGGGGGCCACAGCCCAGCCGAGAAATCCGTATACCTGCACTTGCTGTGTTTGGGCAATCGCTGCCTCTGCAGGTAAGCACCCCCTGGCCTGGCCCTGGCGTGGCCGAGCAACCTCGGGAATTGGGGCGGCCGCCAGCCTTTGGGATCGAGGGTTCGGGATCCCAGAAGTCGGCATCCCCAGGTCTGATCTAGAGGACCACTGGGCAGCGGAGCCGAGCTCCCTGCACCGCCGTCAACATCCTTTGGAAGCGGCAGGCGAGTGCGAAGGGCTGGGAGCGAGGCGGCACGCCTCTTGACGCGTTTGGCTCGCTGCAAACTGTGTGGCCTGACCCTGAGCTGATTCTCAGACCCCTGGTGAGTCTTGCCCTGTCAGGGCTTGGGAATGGGAGTCTCCAGGCTGTTTTTCTTCGCCCACATCCTTAACCTTCCTCCACAGTCCTTGTGTAAATACTTGTGAGGATAAATTAAATGTGTTCACCCCATTGCAGAGGCTGTAACCTCTCAGAAGAAAGTAGGGTGACTTTTTAGAAAGATTGGTCTAATCAGAGACTCATTTCTTTTCCCTTCCTAGGTTTCTGAAACATGACTCCTTCACTCCTCCTGGTTGCCCTTTGCTTGGGAATAGCCTCAGCTGCTCCAAAACTTGATCACAGATTATCTCTACAATGGAACCAGTGGAAGACAACACACCAGAAACTATATAACGAGGTTGATAACATCTGAAACTGTTCAGAGTGAACCTGCAGAAAATGGCCCTTGATGTGGGGAGTTTAAAGCAGAGAGTAGCTTCTTGAGACCAGCTCTTACAGCCATAACTCCATAGCACCCATCACTGACACAATACACGCATACATCCCTGTTGTGTGGGTGCTGGAGAACAACTCCCAGAAGTATAAAACCTTCCCTGACAGTGGTTTGTCTTCCTTTCTGTTGTAAATCCACTTGGTGAAAAAACAGGAACCACTAGTGAAGGTGAGTTGGATTAAATAGAAATAAAGGCCATAGCTTATTTCTTTGTCTCTAGAATGAAGAAGGATGGAGGAGAGCAGTGTGGGAGAAGAATATGAAAATGATTGAACTGCACAATTGGGAACACAGCCAAGGGAAACATAGCTTCACCATGGCAATGAATGCCTTTGGTGACATGGTGAGTGTGGCACAGGAGGCTTCACTTTTTGTGCTCCCTGTCCTAGTACTTTTCCAAAATAGTCTCTTCCTTTATAATATTCTATTTCCTTTCCCTTGAAGACCAATGAAGAATTTAGGCAGGCAATTAACGGTTTTCAATACCAGAAGCACAGGAAGGGGAAAGTGTTTCAAGAACCGCCCTATGCTGAGATCCCCCTGTCTGTGGATTGGAGAGAGAAAGGCTATGTAACTCCTGTGAAGGATCAGGTATGTCAGCATTCAGCAGGTCTCTCTCTAAGAGTAAAGTCATAAAAGAGTTGCTTTCCATGAAATGGTAGACTGTGGAGTTTCTATGTTTTTAATATATCAGCTGTTGTCAAAGTCTTGCTATTTATTTTGTAGGGTAAGTGCTTTTGAATTTTATTTTTAGGGTCAGTGTGGTTCTTGTTGGGCTTTCAGTGCAACTGGTGCCCTTGAAGGACAGATGTTCCGGAAAACTGGCAAACTTGTTTCGCTGAGTGAGCAGAACCTGTTGGACTGCTCTCAACCTCAAGGCAATTATGGCTGTAATGGTGGCCTAGTGAATAATGCCTTCCAGTATGTCAAGGAAAACAAAGGACTGGACTCAGAAGCATCTTATCCATATCATGCAAGGGTAAAAACACTTCCTATCTTTTATAAATGTTTTTATTGTCATTTTATTGCTATTCTACAGTTGTCCCAATTTCTACCCCTTTGCCCCCCTCTGCTCAGCCCATCCCCTGCTCCTACAGTCAATCCCCACACTATTGTCCAGGTTCATGCGTCGTTCATACATGTTCTTTGACTAGTCCTGTCCCCTTCTTTCCACCATTATTCCCCTTTCCCCTCCCCTCTGGCCACTGTCAGTCCATTCCATGTTTCTATGTCTCTGGTTCTATTTTGCTTATTGGTTTACTTTGTTCATTTTATTCCTTCTATAAGTGAGATTTTATGGTGTTTGTCTTTCACTGACTGGCTTATTTCACTTAGCATAATGCTCTCCAGTTCCAACCATGTGGTTGCAAAGGTAGGAGTGCCTTCTTTCTTTCTGCTGCGTAGTATTCCATTGGGTAAATGTACCAGAGTTTTTGATCAACTCATCTACTGGTGGGCATTTAGGCTGTTTCCAGCACTTGACTATTGTAAATTGTGCTGCTATGAACACAGAGGTGCATAAGTTCCTTTGAATTGGTGTTTCAGGATTCTTAGGGTCTATTCCCAGCAGTGGAACCACTGGGTCAAAAGGCAGTTCCATTTTTAATTTTTTGAGGAAATTCCATACTGTTTTCCAAAGTGTGTGCACTAATCTGCGTTCCCACCAACAGTGCACTAGGGTTCCCTTTTCTCCACAGCCTCACCAGCACTTGTTGTTTGTTGTTTTATTAATGATAGCCATTCTAATGAGTATGAGGTGATATTTCATTGTGGTTTTAATTTGGATTTCCTTGATGACTAGAGATGTTAAGCATCTTTTCATGTGTCTATGGGCCATCTGTATGTCCTCCTTAGAAAAGTGTCTTCAGGTCCTTTGCCTGTTTTTTTATTGGATTGTTTGTCTTCTTGGTGTGAGTCATATGAACTCTTTATATATTTTGGAGATCAAATCCTCGCCCGATGTATCATTGGCAAATTTGTTCTCCCATGCAGTCAGATGCCTTTTCATTTTGATGATGGTTTCTTTGGCCATGCAGAAGCTTTTTAATTTGATGTAGTCCCACTTGTTTATTTTTTCTTTTATTTCTCTTGCCCTAGGAAATATATCTGTAAAAATTTCACTACATGCAATATCTGAAACATTACTGCCTATGTTTTCCTCTAAGACTTTTATGGTATCACTACTTATAATTAAGTCTTTTATCCATTTTGAGATTATTTTGGTGAATTATATAAGTTGGTGGTCTAGTTTCATTGTTTTGTATGTACCACACCAGTTCTCCCAACACCATTTATTGAAGAGACCATTTTTTACTCTATTGTATGCTTGTGCCCTTTTTGGCAAATATTAATTGACCATAGAGACATGGGATTATTTCAGGGCTTTCTATTCTGTTCCATTGATCTATATGTCTCTTCTTATGCCAGTACCAACCTGTTTTGATTTGATAGTTTTATATCAGATATTGTGATTCCTCCACCTTTATTCTTTTCTCTCAAGATTGCTGAGGCTATTTGGGGTCTTTTTTGGTTCCACATAAATTTTTGAAGTATTTGTTCTAGATCAGTAAACTATGCTATTGATATTTCAATAGGGATTGCATTGAATCTATAGATTGCTTTGGACATTTTAATGATATTAATTCTTCCAGTCCATGAACAGGGTATATGCTTCCATTTATTTGTATCTTCCTCAGTTTCTTTCTTCAGTGTTCTGTAGTTTTCTGAGCACATAGGTCTTTTACCTCTTTGGTTAAATTTATTCCTAGGTACTTTATTTTTCTTGTTGTTATAGTAAATGGGATATTTTTTTCTAATTTCTCTGAGAGTTCATTGTTGGTGTACAGAAATGCCATCAATTTCTGAATGTTGACTTTGTATCCTGCTACTTTGCCAAAATCACTTATTAGGTTGAGTAGTTTTTTGATGGAGACTATAGGGTGTCCCATATACACTATCATGTCATCTGCAAATAATGATAGTTTTACTTCCTCCTTCCCAATTTGGATGCCTTTTATTTCTTTTTATTATCTGATCGCTATGGCTAGAACTTCCAGTACTATTTTGAATAGGAGTGGTGAGAGTGGTCACTTTTGTCTTGTTCCTGACCTTAAGGGAAAAGATTTTAGTTTTTGCCCTTTGAGTATGATGTTGGGAGTAGGTTTCTCATATATGGTCTTTATTATGTTAAGGTATGTTCCCCTTACTCCCACTTTGCTGAGTGTTTTTACCATAAATCGGTGCTGGAGTTTATCAAATGCTTTTTCAGCTTCTATTGATATGACATTGTGATTTTTGTTTTCCTTTTGTTTATGTGAGGTATTACATTTATTGATTTGCAAATATTGAACCATCCTTGCATCCCTGGGATGAATCCCCCTTGATTGTGGTGGATGATCTTTTTAATGTATTGCTGGATGAAGTTTGCCAACATTTTGTTGAGGATTTTAGCATCTATGTTCATCGGTGATATTGGCCTCTAGTTTTCTTTCTTTGTGGTGTCTTTATCTGGTTTTGTGATTAAGATGATGCTGGCCTCATAAAGAGAGTTTGGGAGTCTTCCCTCATCTTGGATATTTTGGAATAGTTTGAAAAGAATAGGAGTTAATTCTCTTTTGAATGTTTGGTAAAATTCATCTGTGAAGTCATCCTGTCAGGGCTTATGGTTGCTGGGAGGTTTTTGATTACTGCTTTGATTTTACTAGTTCTTATTGGTCTACCCAAGGTTTCTGCAGTTTCTTGATTCAGTTTTGGAAGATTGTATGTTTCTAGAATGTATTCATTTGCCCAGGTTGTTCAATTTTTTGGCATACAGTTCATAATAATTTCTTATAATCCTTCATATTTCTGTGGTATCAGTAGTTACTTCTCTTTCATTTCTGATATTATTTATTTGGATCCTCTCTCTTTTTTATTGATGAATCTGGTTAAAGGCTTGTCAATTTTATGTGTCTTTTTGAAGAACCACCTCCTGGATTCATTGATCCTTTGAATTGTCTTTTTAGTCTCCATGTCATTTATTCTGCTCTGATCTTGATTATTTCCTTCCTTCTACACACTCTGGGCTTTGTTCGTTGTTGTTCCTCTAGTTCTTTTAGATGTAGGGTCAGATTGTTTATTTAAGATTTTTCTGTCTCTTTAGGTATGTATTGCTATGAATTTCCCTCAGGACTGCCTTTGCTGTGACCCATAGGTTTTGGGTTGTTGTGTGTTCATTTTCAGTTGTTTCCATGTAATTTTTTATTTCTTCCTTGATCTCATTGTTAACCCAATCATTATTTAATGACATGTTATTCAGTCTCCACGTATTTGAGTATTTTTGAGTTTTTTACCTGTGGTTGGTTTCTAATTTCAAGCCATTGTGATCCAAGAAGATTCTTGATATGATTTCAATTTTCTTGAATTTCTTGAGGCTGGTTTTGTGTCCTATCATGTGGTCAATCTTTGAAAATGTTCCATGTGCATTTGAAAAGAATGTATATTTTGATTCTTTGGAGTGAAATGCTCTGTAAATATCAATTAGGTCCATATCATCTAGGGTGTCATTCAGTGCCACAATATCCTTGTTGAATTTTTGTTTGGATGATCTATCCTTTTTTGACAGTGGAGTGTGAAAATCCCCAACAATGACTGTATTGCTGTTGATCTCCTTCTTAAAGTCTTCCAAGATTTTCTGATGTATTTAGGTGGTCCTGTGTTGGCTTGCATATATATTTACAAGGGTTATATGCTCTTGTTGGACAACTCCCTTAAGTATTATGTAGTGACCTTCTTTGTCTCTTGCTATTGCCTTTGTTTTTAAGTCTGTTTTGTCTGATATAAGTATTGCTACCCCTAGCTTTTTTTTCATGTCCATTTGCTTGGAATATTTTTACCATCCCTTCACTTTCAGCCTGTGTAGATATGTTGTTCTGAAGTGGGTCTCTTGTAGACAGCATATATGCAGGTCATATTTTCTTATCCATTCAGCTATCATATGTCTTTTGATTGGAGAATTTAATCCATTTACATCTAAGGTTATTATTAATAGGCATTTATTCATTGCCATTTTTTCCCATTGTACCTGTATTTCTCCCCCCACCAATCTCTCTCTCTTCTTCTCTCAAAGCAGTCCTTCATCTTCATAAAGCAGTCCTTTTGGCATCTCTTGCAATGCTGGTTTGGTAGAAATATATTCTTTTATCCTTTTTTTTTTTTTTTGTCTGGTAAGCTCCTGATTTCACCTTCCTTCACCTTCCATTTTAAACATGAGTCTTGCTGAGTAGAGCAGTCTTGGTTTCAGGCATTTTCTTTTCTTTTTTTTTAAAGATTTTATTTATTTTATTTTTAGACAGAGGGGAAAGGAGGGAGGAAAAGAAGGAGAGAAACATCAATGTGAGGTTGCCTCTCATGCACTCCCTACTGGGAACCTGGCCCACAACCCAGGCATGTGCCCTGACTGGGAATTGAACAAGTGACCCTTTGGTTCGCAGGCCAGTGCTCAATCCACTGAGCCACACCAGTCAGGGCCAGGCCTTTTCTTTTCATTACATGGAATATTTCATTCCATTCCCTTCTGACTTGTAGTGTTTCCGTTGAGAAATTAGCTTATAGCCGTAATGGAACCCCTATGTATGTTACTAGCTGTTTATCCATTGCTGCCTTTAAGATTCTCTCTTTGTTTTTAAATTTTGCCATTTTAATTATGATGAGTCTTGGTGTAAGTCTATTTAAGTTCATCTTGATTGGGGCCCTCTGTGCTTCCTGAACCTGCATGACTTTTTCCCTCACCAAGTTAGGGAAGTTGTCTGTCATTATATTTTCAAACAGGTTTTCTATTCTTTGATCCTTTTCTTCTCCTTCTGGAATCCCTATTATGAAAATAGTTATGTTTCATGTTGTCCTGCTCTTGCCCTAAACTTCTGTGGTAGTCATCCTGTGGGACTCAGTGGTGCAATCTTCCTGAACTCCTGAGCTGGTTACTCTAGGGATGCCCTTTATGCGGTTTATGTGGGCTATCATGTTGTAATTGGGCTTTGGTTGTTGTTGGCTCATTCATTGGTGGGTTCTCCCCTCTAGCTGGCTGACTGAGAGTCAAAACCCCCACCATGTCTTGTATGCTGTTGTACAGGAGCTGCCAGAACAAAACAAAACAACCCAGCAAATAAAACCCACACTAGTAAAAATACCCCCAACCCCTACCCTGATATTAACAACAAATGAGCTAAGATTTATGAAGGCAGAAAGAGAGTAAGAATATTATATGAAAGGAAAAAAGAATATGAGGTGACTGATGGAAATAAAAATGCTTTTGAGAGGGTAGGGGGAGGAGAAGTAATAAGAATATTACTAGAAATAAAGTAAAGAAAAGGAGAAAATACAATTTATCATGTAAATAAAATAAGGAGGGAATAGGAGCAAATTGGAGTACAACAGGGGAAGGGTACAATATGAAGTTTGGGAGAAAAAAAAGAGGTGAAAAAATAAGAACCAAATTGAAGAAAGAAAACCACAGCAGTGATATCCATAACAAAGGAGCAAAGATTGATAAAGTTGGGAAGAAAATAATATTATAAGAAATAAAAAAAGAAAGAAAAGTAAAAAAAGACTGTGTCTAAAGGAAAGAAAACTGATTTTGAGAGTATAGAGGGGGTAAAAATAATAAGCATAAGCATTAGAAACTAGCCTACAAAAGGGAGAAAATAAAGTTTAAAATGAAAATAAAGACAGGGCAGGTGGAAGACAAAATGGAGTAGGACAGAGGAACAGTAAAATATGAGATTATAATTAAAAAAATAGTGAACACCTAGGGACAGGATTGAAGAAAAGCAGCAACAGTCCCAACACCAATGACACCTGAGCAAATATTTATAAAGGTGGAATGGCAATAAGGATATTATTAGAAAGGGAAAAAGAATGTGATGATTAGTGAAAAGAAAAATGATTTTGAGAGGATGGGAGAAGGAGAAATAGTAAGAGTGAGCAATAGAAACAAGGTGTAGAAAGGGAAAAAAAATAATACAAAAATAAGAGAGGAGGATAAAGGCAAAATTGAGTAAGAGAAAGGAAGAGTATAATATGATATTGGAATTAAAACTAAAGTAAAAATAAATAATAATAAAAATTTAAAATATATGTAAAAAGTAAAATAAAATAAAAATAGTGAAATAATAACAAATTGAAGACAAAAAAAAACAATGTCAAAAAGCTATGCAGGAGAAAAAAAATAGCACAAATAATGAAAAAAAAAAACAAGGTGGAATTCATCTCAGTAGAGTCTAGTGTTTGCTGGCCTACTGTCTTCTCCTTCGGGATCTGTCCCTGATGTCAGCTGGAGTCCAGTCTAGCTTTAGTCAGCCTTTTTGAAGCTACAAGTGATCCACAGTCTGTGGCTGTCTCCTTCAGGCTTGGCTGGTCCCCACTGTTCTGTCCTTCTGGCTTTTTATCAGCACAAGGCCCAGGAGTGGTTCATCTAATGTCTAACAGCACTACACATACCACCTCTATCTGCCTCCTGTGGGGGCCTTTGGTGCAATCAGGAAGGTGGGATCCCTGGATAATCCCCCAGGAGGTACTGCTCAGCCTTCAGGGAAGATGGTGGATATGTTCCCCATGCCTGTGCCACATGTCTTGGTCTGTCCCAGATTATTTTCACTAATCTATAGCTTCTGATGAATTAGCTGTCTATCTCATGTGAGGGACAAATCTGTGTAAAAGGGTCAGCTCTTTTCTATTTGGTATTGAGAGTGGCAGCTCTGTGTGAGAGCTGAGGCTGGGTGGGGCCCTGAATAACTCTTGCTGTGCCAATTGCTAATTCCTCTGCTCTCTTGTTCAAGAGAGCAGTGGAATAGGGCCCAAGGAGGAGCCAGGATAGTGTCTGATAAAAGTTCATAAAAGGCTCCTTTAGAGATTCTCTTTCTTACCCCTGAAGATTCGCACCCAGCAGGAGGTTCTTAAGCCTGGCCTTGTGGAGTTTGCAATCCTGCAGGTGGGAGATGGGCATTCCTTCCCCTTCCCAGAGGTTTGTATTCTGAGTTTTGGGTGGCCCTGCCTGGCTGCAAAGGATCTCACGTACCCTGCTCTAGCCCATCCAGTTCCTGGCTCCCTGCTGTCTCAGGAGTCTCAGACCCAAAACAAACCCTTTGTTCTGCACACAGCCCCCTGCGTATCAGTTGCACTGGGTAGTGCGCCACCATCCCTTTGCCATGCAGCCTTCTACTCTTCCTGGCCAGCTGGGTTCAGCGGGCATGAATTGCACTTTGAATCTGGCCTGTTTGCTGGCAGGACAGCTAAGCATGCATGCAGGTTCCCTGCTCAGCCACACCTCAGCTCCCCTCTTTAAAAAAGTCCTATGTGGCACCTACACTGCAGCTCTGAGCCTCTGCCTGGCTCTCCACACACTCCACTTCCCCAAAGGCAAAAAATATTTCTTGGTCAGGGCTGGTCACAGCCTGCCAGTACCTCTGACAGCCTTAGGAGCCATAATTTCTCTCCTGGACTCTCCCTGTTGGTGCTGCAGCCGTGGACGTGCTGCTTGCTGTGTGTGTGCAGCCCAAGTTTCCCAGACTGCATATATCCTCCCAATTTTCTTCCAGTTTCTTCCAGGCTTGGGGGTTCCCTGTGCAGGACTGGGGCCCCCTGCTCTGGGACATGTGGGAGCCACCAAGCTTCACTTTCTCTCCTCTGCTCTCTCCTTTGCTTCAGGCACCTCATGCAGGGTATTTCCCCTTCAACTTGTAAAATCTTTTACTGAATGGTGTAAAGCCTCTTCTGCACTCCTTGGCTTCAAAAGTTCATATCAACTAAGATTCCGTTGATTGTTCAGGTCACTTGTCAGAAGCTCAGTTGAAAATCCACACTGGGAACATGAGCAAGTGGGCTCAATTTCCACCTACTTGGCCACCATCTTCCAAGGTTCACACTTCTTATCTTACTATTTTATCTCTGTTTTTGAGAATTGAACCCTTCAGAGAAAGAAAATGCCATATTTAGGATTCACATTTTAGGCTGTAGAATCTTTATCTGCAAACTGTCAGAACTAGCCAATTCTCCATTTAGGTGGTTACCATATAGCTGTTCCTACTTCCATGCTACATGGAGTTTTACATACCATTCTGTATATAGTACAGATTTCTCCAGAGGGAAAAATTTCTCATGGACAGATAGACCAAGAGTATGATTGAATAGAAACACCAGCTAGTTCTTCAATTTCAAAGCAACAAATAGCACCTCATCTGCTGGGATGCTTTACAACAAACTTGATTTGGAAATCACTAAACTGCAAACTGTCTTGAACTCACTCATTCCCCAGGAAGTAGGTTGTAATCAGTTTTCTCCCCTTTTACCTTTAAAAGGATGAGTCTTGCAAATACAAGCCCGAGTTTTCTGCTGCCAATGACACTGGTTTTGTGAACATCCATAGGCAGGAGAAGTCTCTTATGAAAGCAGTGGCAAGTGTGGGACCCATTTCTGTTGGTATAGATGCAAGCCTTATATCCTTCCAGTTCTATAAAAGAGGTAAGCATTTATCCTTATATAAATTTAGGAAGAAAAACTATAAAACCACCCTGACATACAGCGAGACTGACTCTTCGTTATGTAGAATTCAATGTAGAATTTCTGGGTGTGTGGATTTAACATTAGGTGTGCCTCCTGTACATGTTGTATTTGTGCCAGCTGTTGTCCATTTGACATTATTTAAACTATATCCCTATGATTTTAAGTGCTTTGTAAATATATCAAGTGGCTACATAATTCGATCAATACAGCTAAATTTACTTTACTTTTTAAAATTGATAGGTCTTTAAAATTTCAGAGAATTTGGCCTGGGTGGTGTGGCTCAGTTGGTTGGAGCATCATCCCATAAATCAAATGGTGACAGGTTTGAAGTCACCTGGTCAGGGCACATACCCAGGTTGTGGGTTCAATCCCCAGTTGGGGCATATGTGAGAAGGCAACCTATCAATGTTTCTCTCTCACATCAATGTTTCTCTCTCTTTCTTTCTCTCCATTCCTCTCTCTCTAAAGACAATTTAAAAAAATGTTCTCGGGTAAGGATAAAAAACAATTTTTATTTACAAAGAAGATTACTACTGAAATTAAAACTGGAAAAACCCTTGGTTCAAGTAATTTTGTATTCTGTGCCATTTTCTTAGACTGACATCCTAAAATAGAATAAAGTTTCAATGAGTGGTCTTTTATGCCCCTTGACAAGTTGTTTTTAAAAGTGATAGTGGCCCTGGCTGGTGTTGCTCAGTGGACTGAGCTCCGGCTTGCAAACCAAAGGGCTGCCAGTTCAATTCCCAGCCAGGGTACATGCCTGAGTTGTGGGTGAGGTTCCCAGTAAGGGGCATGAGAGAGGCAACCACACATTGATGTTTCTCTCCCTCCCTTCTCCTTTGTCTAAAAATAAATAAATAAAATCTTTTTTAAAAAATAAATAAAAATGATAGTGGTTGCCCTCGCCAGGTGGCTCAATTAGTTGGAGCATTGTCCCACACATCAAAAAGTTGTGGGTTTGATACCCAGTCAGTACACATACACCACCTAGTGGCAATTTTTATTTCTGTTAGTATTACAGGAGGGCCTGACACCCTAGCCTAGATTTTTTTTAAAATCTTTTTTTCCCCCTTAATCCTCACCAGAGGGTATGTCTATTGATTTTAGAGAGAGGAGAACATTAGGGGTGAAGAGGGAGAGAAATATCAATGTGAGAGAGAAACAAAGAAAAATCGATCATTTCCCTCTCATACACACCCTGACTGGAGATCAAACCCACAACCTAGGTATGTGTCCTGACTGGGAATCGACCCCACAACATTTTGGTGTATGGGGCAATGCTCCAATTAACCACCTGGCCAGAGCAAAAAAAAAAAATCTTATTTTTAAATCTTATCTGGATTTGTTATTTGACTGAATTTTGAGATGCCTCCCTTACTGTGGTTGGTAGGCTGAATTATTGTCATGTCTCACTGGGACGTTCTAACCCCAGCATTAACTTTTACTTTCTCAGGTATTTATTATGATCCAAAATGCAGCCACAAGGACCTGGATCATGGTGTTCTGGTGGTTGGCTATGGCTTTGAAGGAGCAGTACCGGATAACAATAAATATTGGATTGTCAAGAACAGGTATAAAATGCCAAAAATACTGATGTTTGAAATTAGAAAGGGAATCCTTGTTGAAATTAGTATTTGGATACAGGTACTCAAACCTTTGAACATACTTCTGAAATCCCAGAAGTCTTTATCTCACTTAAGATGAGATATGAACACAGATATGAATATTTGCTTATAACATTAAGATACTATCTCAAGCTTACTAGGGCATTGATACAGTTTTGTTACCATTGCATTTCTAAATTTGAAATTTTTCTTAATTCTGAAACACATCTGGCCCCAAGAATTTTCTTTCTCAATCTCTAATTTTGCACTTCTGTGAAAGGTTTTTGGATAGAAGTTATGTGCAGGTTGAGAACTCAGCCATGAAAAAACCCAGCCAATTCTCCTGCTTCTTTCTAAATCTGTTGGGGCTTCAGGTGCACTGTTTAAGTATCAGGAATTATTGTTAATAAAGATAAATATGTTTGATTCTTTATATAAAATGGAAAACCTCTCTTCTTTCAGCTGGGGTACAGTTTGGGGCATGAATGGCTACATAAAGATGGCCAGAGACCGGGACAACCACTGTGGAATCGCCACCGCGGCCAGCTATCCTACTGTGTGAGATGCTGGTGATAAAGAGAGACTTGATTGAGACAAAATGTCCAGAGGAGGAATTTTATCTGAAAGCTGACCAGACCTTATTGTGTGGCCAGAAGTCTTGAAGTCTTGAAGATCTAAGCTGTGATTTGAATTGTGTGACATTTAACACTATTTAAATGTTACCACTCCTTTAATTATTGTACAAAGAGTTTGGTGTGATTAACTTGCCTAATAACTTTTGCATTTTTATGTTTTAAAAGGATATATAAAATTTTATCTTTTAAAATAAAACTCCATTTCAAAGTAGAGGTGGGGCTTCTTTTTTTTTGTTTTTAAAACATTAACTTTTTGTATCATGAAAAGCGTAATTGTCCTCTAGAGACATAGCTGAATGTGCCAGTGGTCCATTTGGAGAATGCTGGAGGTCTTGGCAGGGGGCAGGCGGGGGTGGCATCTGGCTCCGTCTAGTGATGATTATGCAGATCTTATGTTAGTTGCCCATTGGTTGTGTCTGAACCAACCCTTGGATGGAGTAGAATTTAACAAACAATCCATAAGGGTGAAGGTAAATTATTTTAATAAGGAAAAAATCACATATTAAATAAGTGATTACACATAATAGGATTTCCAGACTAGAAAGAGGCCTAAGAGGTCATGGTTATTAGACTCAATATGGTTACAGCCTAGGTGAGTTATAGGACAAATGTCACAGTGTCAATTTCTGAGGTATCTTCTCCAACTTCTTATAAAGATCATGTGGCTGCTTTGCAGTGGAGGAAGCACCAAATGCAATAGATTGCCAAAAATGTGTGTTTTGGGGGCTGAAAGGGATGAAGAATAAGCTCCCATATTTGAGGCTGAGGTTGAATATAGTGCTGTGGCCTCAGAGGTGGGAGAAAAGTGAGTGCATCAGAAGTGAGAGTCTGAGGCCTGATTTATGTCTAGCTACCTCATTCCTGAATTTATTTATTTATTTTTAAAAAGATTTTATTTATTTATTTTCAGAGAGGGCGAAGAAAGAAAGAGTGAGAGAGTAACATCAATCATTTGCCTCCCATGCTCCCCCAACCTGGTACATGCCTCAACTGGGAATCGAACTGGTGACCCCTTGGTTTTCAGAATGACATCCAACCCACTGAGCCATACCAGCCAAGGCCTGAATTTATTTTTTTAAAAGAAAAATGTTCTACTTTCTACAGTCTAAAGAAGTATATAGTTCCATTTGTTGTCTTTGTCTTTAAAATTCTCATGTTGCCACTCAAAGAAATATAAAGAATAGGTTAAAATATTTAATGGACACTGTAATTCCTCATGAGACATGAAGTGGAGGACAGCTGGGGCCTTAGTCCCCTAGACCTCCAGCAGCCGCCATTCAAGTGCATCTGTACTGGACCATGTGCCATGCTCGGCCCTCTGTGTGGGCTTCCCGCATAAGTCCTTAGCTTTATAACTTTTTTATGTAAAATGGCAAATGTGTTTAGAGTGAAAGTCTATGGGTTCTGTGAAAGTATTAATAAGTGTGGTCACAAAAATATTTGAGGACTTTTGAGCTGAATCCCTTTTGCTGATTGGGACCTATATTGAAACATCTGGAATTGATGTGACCTCCGACTGTGTCCCAGTCATGACCTTGTGGAAGAGACATTCCCAACCTCAAATAGGAGCAAGTGTAGTTAGGGAGACAAAGGTCCTGGGAACACCAGGAAGAAGAGAAATCTGATGTGATCCCAGGGGAGCTGTCAATCAGAACAAAAAGTGAGTCTCTGAGTAGAGACTTGTGGTCAGAATCCCTGAGAAAAGAGAAAGCAAATTGAGAAAAGGTGGGAAGTGAGTGAACCAAGGTGTGGAAGATGAGGCTGGGTCCACAGATGGGACTGTAGGACACAGGGGAACCACTTGAGAGTGCAGTATAAGAACTGTTCTGCTTATCTCTTACTGTAAAACAAACACCTGGAAATACCAGCTTGAAAAAACTCTTTCCCATTTCCTTATTGGGCTTATCTGTGTGGTTTCCCACTGGAAGTCTCTAAGGCGTGCTGCAATCTGTAGGCTTGACTGGGCTCATATGCAAGCAAACTTACTCACATGACTCTCCTAGGAGCTGGTGTGGACTGGGCATTCAGTCTGGGCTGCTAACCAGAGCACCTAAATGGGCCTCTCCCTGACTTGGAATCCCACAGCATGAAGATCTGCTCTGAGGACAACGTACTTAGGGACAGTGTGCCAGAATGCCCAATGAGGACCTGCAAGCCATCTTATGACTTTGTCTTAGTCCCCAGTGAAGTCTCTGCTGCTGTGTTGTATTTGGAGGATGTCACCAGAGGGCCCAGGTTCTAGGGAAGGGGGCAGAGAGGCTGCCTCCTGATTGGAAGAGGTGAGATCACTTAGCAGAAGAGCATGTGACATGAAAGATATGGTTGGTGATCATCTTTGGAAAATACAAACTTTTACATTTTGTCTTTGAAAATCCACTAGAAAGGATTTCTATGGGACTGTCATTTTGCCTCACCATAACAGGCCAGGTCAGGTGCTGTCCATGCGATCCTGGAAGTTCAGGTTCAGACTGAGAAAATGTGTAGATGCCGATATGAACAAAAGAAAGTGTGAAGACCTCTCAGATGTCTAAATGATTAAACACATTATAAGTTTTTTAATTTTTAAATATATATTTGAACTTGGAAAAAGTTTCAAACTAAATGATGTCTAAACAATTAAACACCTATTAGAAGTTTCTGTAACTTTCGAACACATAGTATTAACTTAAACTTGTGAAAAGTTCCAAGCTATCTCTATCATATTTTTAAAATAAGCCAATGAGCATAAACTGAATAAGGCTGAATATGGAATGTCAGCCCTGGGATAGTAATGCACCTATTTCTATACAGCTAGCCTCAAGTTCTATCAGCAACCTGGAGGGCACAACTGGACTCATCCGGTCAAGACCAGCAGAACAAGTCAGGCTTGGTGAACATCCAGGCAGGACAAGAAAGAAATCTGTTATCTGTAAATGGTTCTCAGCCACTCATTACATGTATCAAGACCGAGTTTTATTTTCACAAGTTATCTTCTGGTTTCTTAGGATTCACTGAGCTCAACAAATGCCATAGTCCAAAAGGGAATCAGCTAAGATAGGAGAAATCTAAGAAACTCAACATAGCTTAGCTTGGGTATCACTGGTACCAGTGAGTTTAGAAACATGCCAAACAGAAAAAAGGCACAAGAAAGTTTGGGAATCTTTTGCCTCCTCACATGTCTTCTCTCATCTAAGTCTAGCACTGGCTGAGATCAGTAATGGAAACCATAGACACCTTATAGAAAGGCATTTTCACACATGAAAATGCACTTAGAACATTGTGTTGCTTCCTTCTGTTTTAATTAGTGTGTTCTTGACTCTCTAGTGCCACTTTCATGGGATGACATCAAATGTTTTCTGTTTTTCTTTGTGAAAGAGAAAAGGTCATAAGAAAGATGTGAAGGAAACACGGGAAATAATGGAAATAGGCTGAATATTCTATATTCTCCTCAAAAAGTAGTTGTAACCCAAGATGGCCTACGTCGCAACAGGGAATATTGCTGGTCTTTTGGACACTTAAGTCCTGATCTCTGACAAGTCCTCTGCTGAAATTGCTGCCTCCGAGATGTTGTGATCTTTCCCCTGGGTGGCTTTTACATTTGTTTGGAGCTCAGCTGCATGGAGGTAGTAATCCTGGTCCGCACTTACCACCATCATTCTCCATGAAAGTCTTGGGAGCCTTTGTCACGTGATTTTCATCCTGTCCTAGGTGTCAGTCTCACTTCCAAAAGACAGTTTCCTGGGGATGAGCTGCATTTCCCAACAGAAGCCTCTTGGGCCTGAGAAAATCCTTTGTTAAGGAACAGATCAGAAAACACAGTCTCTGGTAGAGTTAACCATTTCCCCACTGGGAACATTCATTTATCTTCATCCCACTCATTTTCCTAGCTATCAAATGTGGATTGGGCCATTCCTGAAAGGCGGTGAGAGTGACATAATGGAGGAAAGATGCCTGAACATTTAAATACATTTTTTTCAATGTTTGAAATATTCTTCTACTTAAACTGTCTTTGTGTTTTCTGTCCCCTTCCCTATAAACTTTCCCCCAGGTGTGTATAAGTCTCATCCCCTAAATTTGAAAGTTGTTGCAGTGTCATCGTTCTCCATGAACTAAACTTAGAATAACTTTCCTTAGCCCTGCTCTCCCATTCCCTGATTTATTTTTCCCATAGTATTTATACCATCTGACATACTATTTCATTTTATTTGTTAGTTTTGTTTATTGTGTCTCTGCACATATTAGCATTGAATTATACAGAGATCAAGGAGTTTAGTTTTGTTCACCTCTCTATCCTTAGCACTAAGAGCAGCACTAAGGACCTGGTAAACAGTAGGCACACAATAAAATCTGCTGTCCAAATGAAATGACACACCTGAGTTATACTGGAATACATCGTCATAGTTTTAAGAGTCAAGCACTGGAGGTAAAGCAAAGATCCCCTTTGGTACTCTGTCTCCCCAAAACATCCCCCTTCCTCAGGGGAGTACCCATAACTATTAATTCAGGATGTTAACAGTCCTCTTTAATTTGTCTTTACCCAAAAACACGTAGTTTTCTTGTTTTTTAAATTTTTTTTTACAAAAATGGCATTCCTTCATATCTATTTGAAAAATGCACTTTTCACGTACCAGGATAGCTTGATTATTTATCCTCGTTTGTACTTTCAGACTAGGCTATGGTGCCCAGTTCTTTGGTCAAACACTACTCTAGAGGCTGCTCTGAAGTTACTGCGTAGAAGTGATTAACATTTATAATCAGTTGACTTGAAGAAAAGAAGGAAACTGGATACCCATATGAAAAAGAATGAAACTTCACCACTATTTTATGCTACACACAAAAATTAACTCAAATGAATCATCAAGGAGGCATCTTTTCAGATGTTTATTGACTCTTTGTGTTCTCTCTTCTGCAAATTGCAATTTTATATTTCTCTATATATATTACTTTATCTTTTTCCTCTTAATATGTATGATTGTTGATATTCATTTTTTTGTTATATATATTACAAATATTTTCTCCTAAGCTATCAGTTGTCTTTTAATTTTGTAGTGTGTTGTTTTTATTTTGGTGTAACCACATCTTCCCTTTATACCTTTTACTGTGTGTCTTTTGGCCCCATTTAAAGTCATAAATATAGCCCCCATTACATTTTTGTAACACTTTTATATTTTTATGCTTTATATTAATTCTGGAATTCATTTGCACTATATTTTGGGGATCTAATTTTATTTTTTCCCAAATGACTAGCTAATTATTCAAACACCAGACATTCTTTCCCTGCTAATTTGAAAGGTCATGTTTCCTTCTTGTTTTTAAAAAAGCATCTATTAAAATGATTGTGTGGTTTTTCTTTTTTGAAGTATTAATGGGTCTGCCTTCCAGCTGCTAAAGCCCATCTGCCCACAGTATAATGGAAACCAGTGAATGGTCCCACCTTCCCCAAGTGTGAATGTATACCTGTACAGTGTACATTTGAGAAATGATTGAAAATGGAAAGAACAATGGGTTTTTTCTACACTGGAAGCCAATTAGGAGGAAATGAGAAACCTAGAGAAAAAGGACTCTCAGCTCATTTTGTCCAGAGAGCCCAATCACTGGTCTTTCTAGGCCCTGGCTATGAAAATACTTGGTCACTCAGGTACCATTGTCCCCCATCTTCCTGGCATCTCTGATACATAGCCTCTGAGAATGGAATGAGAGTCCAGTATTCTTCCCTAGCAACCTGTTATTGAATCTGCTATGAAGAAACTCAGAGTCTTGGTTTGAAGAAGGATGCATATGAATGGTGAATGGATCTTTCCTGAGCATCCTCTACCATTCTTCAAAGCAACATACAGCATGCTTAAAAGTTCTGTCTTTCAGTTTTGTTTCCAAGAAAACCTTCTCCCCCTGGCTCTGTAGTCTTTAGACTATGTGCTGTAAACTCAGCAAATCGAGGTATTCATAAGAGATTTTGAAGTGAAGATTTCAGTTTGAATCTTTGAGATATACATTTCAAATAGAGTGTCTAATAAAGTTTCAGTAGCCCATTGATTAGAATCATTTTTCCTAGGAAAAGAAATTCTTTGTTCCTTTTTGAAAAGATAAAAATCTTTTGATTTATGTATTAAAATGTGGCTACCTCTGTTACTGCAGCCAGGTCATAGTGGATTAACGAACAATGTTGAATCCTGAATTAGAATCAAGTGGAAATCTCCTTTAGGTTATATGAAACCACCCTGCCCAAAGCTAAAGTGGAAAAAAAGAGCCCTGCTTCCTCCCATAGCTTCTCCTAGCCCCCCACCTCCACACTGCTGCCTTTTGCCTTAACCTAGTGCACTATTTTAAAGGGTTTTCTAATATGAATCATTTTTTAAATTTAAATTATACTTTATTGTTTATGCTATTCCATTTGTCCCAAATTTTCCCCCTTTGACCCCTTCCACCCAGACTCTTCCCACTCTTTCAAGCAAACCCCACACAGCTGTCCATGTCCATGGGTCATGCATATATATTCTTCAGATACTATATTTTGTACACTGTACTTTACATCCCCATGACTATTCTGTATCAACCAATTTGTACTTCTTAATTCCAACACATTATTTACCCTTCCTCCCAGCCCCCTTCCTATCTGGCAACAACAAAATATTCTCTGTATGAGTCTGTTTCTGTTCTGCTTCTTTGTTTTTTTTTTATTCAAATATTGATAGATATGTTTTTATTGTCATTTTATTGCCAATATTTTGATCTTCTTCTTCTTAAAGAAAACCCTTTAACATTTCATATAATACTAGTTTAGTGGTGATAAACTCCTTTAGCTTTTTCTTGTCTAGGAAGCTCTTTATCTGTCCTTATTCTAAATGATAGCCTTGCTGGGTAGAGTAATCTTGATTGTAGGTCTTTGCTTTTCATCACTTAGAATATTTCATGCCAATTCTTCTGTCCTGCAAAGTTTCTGTTGAGAAATAAGTTGACAGTCTTATGGGAGCTCCTTGTAGGTAATTAACTGTTTTTCTCTTGTTGCTTTTAAGGTTCTCTTTTTGTCTTTGACCTTTGACATTTTAATTATGATGAGTCTTGGTGTGAATCTCTTTAGGTTCATCTTGTTTGGGACTCTCTGCACTTCCCGGACTGATACATCTATTTCCTTTGCCAAGGCAGGGAAGTTTTGTGTCATTATTTTTTCAAATAGGTTTTCAAGTTCATGCTCTCTTTTATCCTCTGGCACTCCCATATTGTGAATGTTTGTACGCTTGAAGTTATCCCAGAGGCTCCTTACACTATCCTAATTTTTGGACTCTATTCCCTTCTTGTTGTTCTGATTAGGTGTTTTTTGCTTTCTTATATTCCAAATCACTGATTTGATTCTGGGCTTTATCTGCTTTACTGTTGATTCCCTGTAGATTGTTCTTCATTTCAGTTAGTGTATCTTTCATTTTTGACTGATTTGTTTATTCTTTCCATATCCTTTTTATTGCTGTTGAAGTTATGAGTTCGTCTACTCTTCCCCTAAGTTTATTGAGCATCCTCATAACCAGTGTTTTGAACTCCACATCTGGCAAATTCCTTGTCTCCAGTTTGTTTAGTTCTTTTTCTGGAGTTTTGTTCTGTTTTTTCATTTGGACCATGTTTCTTTGTACCCTCATTTTGGTAGACTCTCTCTGTTTGTTTCTGTGTATTAGGTAGAGCTACTACAACTCCGTGGCATAGTAGAGTGGCCTAATGTGGTAGGTGTCCTGTAGGTTCCAGTGGCATAGCCTACCCTATTACCCAAGATGGGTACTTGAGGTGCACTCATCATGTGGGCTATGTACACCCTCCTCTTGTAGCTGAGCCTCGATTGCTCTTGGCAGGTCAATAGGAGGTATTTGCTCAGGCCAATCAGTTGCAAGGACTATTTATGACCACTGACCACCAATCTCTGGCTACTGTGGCATATCAGCTGTGCAAGAGCCCACTCTACAGAGCAGGACTTACTTCAGCAGGGCTTTGGTGCCCACTGAGTATGCCCTTTGAGTGTGTCACTTGTAGAGGTGGTTGGGTGGTGGTGCTTTGACATGGTCTGTGGCTGTCTACAGGGTATGCAGGCTCTGAGTCTACCTGTGAGATTCAGGCCGAGGTCAGCCATCACCTTTGTTCTGTCCCTGGCCACCCAACATAAGCTACAAGGTGATCTGCAGTTGTCTGCTACTTGTGCTGGGCTTGGAAGAGCCCAAGTGAGGCTGAGCTGTGAACCAAGGCCAACTGCTGCTAGTGCTGGGCCTGGGGCCACTTAGGGAGAGTTATTCGTCACACTGAGGCCAGATGCTGCTTGTCTGAGAGAATTTAGGAAAATCTGAAGCATGAGGCAAGACAAGCCTTTCATATGGAAAAGCCACTGGAAACAGCTTAGGTGGGGCAAACCATGTCAGCCAGGTTCATGGAGTCTCAGATGTGATGCCTACCTGTTGGTCCTGTGGCTCTAGAGGGGAGGGCTCAGAAAAGGGACAATGATCTCTGCCAGCACTACTGTCTTGGAGAAAGTTGTCCCCCAGCTGTTGCCTTGATACCAGACACTTTAGCTCCTCCATGTATGCCTCTGGTACCTTTCAAGCTGCTTCCCCAGTGCTGAAGCTCAGAGGGAGTGAATCTGAGTAAGTCCATACATGGGCCCTTTAAGTGGAACTGCTTGTGACTTCAGAAGTTTCTGTTTTCTACAGCCTCAATCTCCATAACTTACATCTAGAAGTTATGGGGACTTATCTTCCTGTCACTGGAATCTTTGCCAGGTATGGGGCTGGGACCACTTGCTTCTGAAATATTCCTCCCATTTTTTATTTGCCACATGCAGGTATAGGATCAGACTGTTCTGCATCTCTGCCCCTTTTATCAGTCTTGATGTGGTTTCTTCTTTAATTCCACAGTTGTAGTACTTTCATTCAGCTCAATTTTTGGCACTTAGGAATAATCATTGTTCTGTAGCTTAGTTACAATTTTGATGTGGTCATGCAAGGAAGTGAGCTGTGTTTACCTACCCTGCCATCTTGTAAAAAATTCTCTAATGTGAATCATTCTTGATTTTCTGAGTTAAATATGACTTTATCCTGATGCATCTTTGTTTTAAATACTTCTGGATTTGATTTGTCAATATTTCATTAATAATTTTTGTCCTCCAAGTTCACATACATAATAGCAATTCTTGTTAAAACAAGTTGAGATTTCTGATGCATATACCACTTCATCCCAATGTTGACATAATATGGACAAATGAAGAGTCATTTAACCAGTGCACCCTCGTTAATAAGTCCTAGGCTTAATTAAAATATTTCTCCCAAAACAAAAATACAAAGTCAACAGGTTGAGAAAAGTAGGAGTTAATTTGTAAATATTAACTTTGTTTAGTGTGTTGCTTTCTCAATAGGTAACCTCATTTTTCCATTCAGACTTTTACTAGTCATCCAAGGCATTGCTCCCAAAAAAAGGATCAATCTGAAATTTTAGAATTTAACAGCCATGAGATTTCTAACTCTAACTTATTCAAAATAAGACAAAAACTACTAAGAAATTAAGGAAGTCATTTAAATATATACATAAATTATGCATATATTCAGTATATGTATTTACTTTGAGAAAGAAAATGAATCACTACAGGATAAGACACGAGGTTCAAATTTTACGCCAACCAAGACAAATTTGCAACTGATCCCTGTAGTTTTTGCCCCTAGGTAGATAGCTATTGATTACCTGAGCTGACAGACAGAATTGCAACTCTTTTTGCCACTGTTCATGACAAAAGACAAATCAAAATTTTCTTTTCACATGTGGATCTTTATTTTTAGCCATTTACACTGACCACAGAGTTGCCTCTGGCCTTTAGACCTGTCACTCGCAGTTTGATGCTGCTTTTCTGTTTGTGATTGGGTGGGTGGGCCTTTGTTACTTGTCACCACTGTTTCTGCTTATCATTCATTTACGGTCCTTAACACAAAGTACAAGACAAAAAGAAGAGGGCTTGCAGTGTCAGATTCACTACCTGCTTGCCTGGTTTCGTTGTACACAGGTGAGATATTCCTGCACATCATCCGGGGATCCCAGAATAAGGGGCACTCGTTGGTGAATGGCCTCAGGCTTCACATCCAGCACAGGCTGGGTGCCTGTGGTCGCCAAGCCTCCCGCCTGTTCAATGATGTAGGCCACAGGATTGCACTCATACAGGAGCCGGAGCTGCAGATAGAGAGTCAGGCAGACAAGCTTTGCAAGTTGTCAAAAATCTCAAGCCATATCCCTGAAGCTCGATGAGGAATTCCTGCTGAACTTCTGTCTTGTTAGTGTGAATAGGCTCATGTACCTCAGTAGGGAAGGCTGCCCTAGATCTAGACCCTTCAGGAGGCAGGGTATATTAGCTGCTGAGCACCTCTAGTCACTAAACTACCTGACTTGTGCCCTTTATGATAGACCTGCCTCTTCACTTGGGAGGATCAGATCTTGGTACCTTTTTCTTTATGGTTTCATAATGAGGTAAACTGACTCTGCAGACCTGGTTAGGAGATGCTCTATGTGAGGGGTCAAGCTTAGAACGGACTGCAAGATCACCTCAGATCTAGGTGGTCTCTCAGGATAACCAGTGTTCTGGATAATGGAAAGGAACTCTATATCTCAAGTGTCAAGTTGGCTAAATAGTTTGTTGGTATTGACATTACCATTAGTTCGGGCCCCTTATACTAAGTAAACTCTGCTTGCTTATAGCTCATAGCAACCCTTTCATAAGTGTTGTGGCAGTGAGGTTCGTTTGACATCTGCCTTCCTCCTTAGACATGCTCCCTTGTGGGCAGGGACACGATCTACCTTGGTTGGTCACTGTGGCATCTCCATTCCCTGACACAAAAAAACTGTCCAAACAAGGCTACCACATACCTCGCACAAGGGTTCCCAAAGGAAGCAGAAATAGAGGGTAAAATCAGCCCATACCTTGCTTGCCAAGATGTGCATGTGGACCCAGGGCTGAGCTTCTTCTGAACAGAGAATACCTTTTGTAACAGGCACTAGGAGAACTATGAAATGGGCTGAAATGAATGTGCTTTTTGGATCATTTCTGTGGTTATGTTGTGACTTCCTCCCCAGATTGCGCCCACCACACACATCACATCACATCACATTCAAGGTTGCATTCTAGCTGCATTCTCTGACTCAATTATCACACTATATTCTTGTTTCTTCCCAGATAGGTGCAAAGTCTGTTTTGTTTGCTTGTTTGTTTTTTAACTCTATAATCAGCTTAGAAAGTGGTTGACTCAGGTCTATGCAGCCTTTTCTTTTCTTTTCTTCAAATCCATTTTGAAGACATATCGAACCTACTTAGAGAAACAGTCATATCTGGTGCTGATTTTTAATTTTTTTGATATTGCATGGAGAGGAATAAAGTATCCCTAGTCCAAGTTGGAGAGCCAGGCACTCAGGAGAAAGTTAAGACTCCGGGGAATTTACTTGCCATTCTGGTAAAACAGTGTACAATGTCCTCACCCTAGATCTCCTGCCTTTAGAGTTGTGGGCAGCCTGGCAGGGGCAGAGAAAAGCCCCAGTGCATATGGACACACTTGAGTCAGCTAGTTTGGTCCCTGATCGTCTGCAGGAGAAACATTGGAGGCTACACTGTCGTGCACAGGCCACCAGAAAAATTCTGACCTGGCAACCTGTAGAACTTGGCTCTTTCCTCCCCTTTCCCTGATCTTGGAGGTATAAGGACAGGGGTTTTGTGGTGTCAAGCAATAAAGTTTCAAGTTGTAACCAACTGACCTTTGTTTGTACCATGTTGATTCAGACACTTCAAAACATAATTTTTTGAAAAAAACACACAGCATTCTCACATAAAGCTTGTCTTGGAGCCAAAGTTTGCTCTGACCTTAAGATCCCATTGTTGCAGTAAACTCATCTTAAAACACAATACCCAGGTGTCTGTGGTGCCTGGGCTTGTAGGCTGTGTGATCTATTTTTTTTTCTGCAGTTAAAATCTACACGGCTCTTCAGAGACAAGCACACACAGGAGAAGAGTCAAACACCTCCTCCCCACCCCACTAACTCCCATACAGATATGGTCACAGAGAGTCAAAACATGGAGGTCAGGAGCCAATGGTACTTTAAATATTTGTGGTGGTTATGGTGCTGTGAATATAGGTCTACATATGGAATTACACCTCCTTATGGAAATGTTTATATATTTATTTTTTAATATTTGCTGACTAATTTTAAATCATTTTAATAATTAGTAATAATTAGTCTTAATGGTCTTTCCATTGGAACTGACTAGGTGTTAAGAATGGTTCCATTTAAGAGTTTCCTCATCTTTTTATGCAGATTTTTCTGCACAACAGGTTCACATACATGAGCTCAGCACTCATATGAAGAGAAATGCCTGATACACGAGTATGTATATTAAAAATCTTCTCTCGCCCTGGCTGGTGTGGCTCAGTGGATTGAGTGCCAGGCTGTAAACCAAAAAGTCACTGATTCAATTCCTAGTCAGAGCACATGCCTGGGTTATGGGCCAGGTGCCCAGCAGGGGGCGTGAGAGATGCAACCACGCATTGTTTCTCTCCCTCTCTTTCTCCCTCCCTTCCCCCTCTCTAAAAATAAATAAATAAAATCTTAAAAGAAAATAAAAACAATAATTTCTAAAAAAAAAAAATCAAACCTCTCTTGTCTCATGTGCTGTTAGATTTCCCATTTTGGCTTTGAATCTGCCATTCCAGTAATTCAAGTCTCCCATACACACACACACACACACACACACACACACACACACACACGTGTATGTGTTGGGGGGGCTAATTGTTGGTGTGTTAGAGAATATGGCAGTTCTTTGTTTTAACTTGGCAGTTCTTTGTTTTAACTTGTCTACTTAGCTATGATTTCTGTGATTGGCTAAAAATCAGACACATTACCATTGAAGGGTGTATTCAAGACAGATACATTTGGATCATAGGATTCCTACTTGATAATACCAGTATTTTCAGCTTTGTGTCATAAAATTGCTTAATATTTTCCAGAATCTACCTTTCCAGAAATACTGAATGAGTTCAGAGCTGAAGTTCTTTTTCTTTAAATATTCATATTTGTTTTATTTTCACCACCCCAGATCTCTCTAATAATCTCTTCTACTTGTTTATGTTTGAGATTTTTATCCTTTATTCAAAATACTTCATACATAGCTGATATGTATTCTGTATGTGACATTGTTAATATCTGAAATTCTTGCAATTTAGCTGTATTATTTGTTGTTTTCTCTATCACTCATAGTATCTTGCTTCCATATGTATTTGTGATTTTGGAGAGAAACTAATATTTGCTTGCTCTTTAATTTTGAGAATGCTGTTTGCTGAAGTAGGGGATATTTTTCTATTAAAAAGTATTTGTTTCTGCTTCTGCCAAAAGTTGGAGAGAACTACCAACCCTCACTCACTTGAGCTTACCTTGGGGGTCTCAGCTTAATGTGAGAGGCTCAGGTTTAGCTCCCTCATTTTTCTAGTGGTCCAAGGCTTGTCAATCTGACCACACAATTAAAATGCTTGGGGAATTGGCACACAAGGAACTCTGGTCCTCACCTTGCTTATTCCACAGCTAGCTTATGATTTCTTTGCCCCTTTTTGGGAGTGGGGGAGTAGACTCAGAAATTTTTCCTATGTACTGTGAGTCCTGAAATGCTTTTTAGAGTATATGTTATACAGGATTTAGTTTTTTGCAGTAGATGGGAGACCCTTAATATCTTGTTCACTGTAATGCAAGAACCAAAAGTCAATATAATTTAATATCCTGTCTTTTAAATTCTCCTTTAAGCTTTTATCTATACCAGTAAGCATTCATTATAAGCATAATATCTATGGTTCCATTATATTCTGTTGCATTGCTAGACCACTGTTTAATTAACTATTTTTCTATTGGATATTTAGAATATTTTCCTTATTTCTTTTGAAACTTTCTAGGGGATTGTGGATGGGCTTCAGGTATCTGTGAATCCTCTGAACACATATGTGATATGTATGTTTACATGCATTTTTTCTGGGAAGTGGGTCCATAAGTTTCGTTAGATTCTCAAAGGAGTGTATGATCTACAATCAGCTGGCGATGAAACCAAAAGTCAGACATAGCATGAGAAAAGTGGGAGACAAAACACAGGTGACTCATGGTGAATGATGGGCATGAGGCCAGAGAAATCACCATTGACAGCTTCAGCCTTTCCCTCCAAACCTACGACAGCCTCAAAATTTACTAATGGGAAACATACTTCTTTTTTACCTGCCCACTCACAGACATACATGCCAAAGACAAGGCAGTAGCTGAAAAGCAGGCGTGAAGAGAAAGGGAACTCCAAATGGCTCCCTGACCAAATACAGCCGGTGGACAAAGGAGGATTACCTTGCCTTTAGGACTTTTCTGGTTCGCTGGGTATAGGAAAATCCCTCCATAGACTAGGGTGCGGTGCACATCGGCCACCATGGAGCCCACATACCTGGCCCCATAGGGAGTGCCACCATCCTAGAAAGCAGAGAGGGAAGAGACAAGATGTAGTGAGTTTTGCAATTAGCCAGCACCAGCTCAGGGTTACACATCCAGCTGGTGTGGCCTCTGCATTCCAGGTCCCTCATCTTCCACCCAGGAGCTTAGGAATTGAAAAGCATTATATAATTAAGCATTTCATTCTTTAGGAGCTTCCATACCATGACCAGTGATTGAACTCATTAAAATATAGGATTACTTAGAGTAAGACGCTATATCCTGAAACAATCCTAAGAGAGCAGCTATCAAGAAAAAAAAGGAAGTAGATACTGAAGCAAAATATGCCACCTGTGGCAGAAAAATCGAGACAAATGTATTTGAACAATTAAAAAAATGCCACTTTGGCATATTTATCATTTTAAATTAAAGTTATTTGAGAAACAGCTGGTGTAAGAAGGACACTCTGACCCTCCTTTGTCCCTCTGAAAACAGGAAATACACCTCCAAAGGGAAAGGTGCCATCTCTGCACGGCTCTGCACCGGGAGGAAGACAGACACCCTTATCAACAGAGATAGGGAATTTAGGGCTGAGGAGGCTGTGTAAATGAAACTTGCTACTTTCTCATGAATTTGCTACCCCTAGATCTAACTTCTTTGTCCTGTCAGTTCTTCACACATTTATTGTTTCTTTGTCTAGAAATTATAAAACCTGTCTGCTTTGGTCACTTCTGTGAGTCTCATATTTTTAATGAGGCTCCCATAAGTACAAAATTAAGTTGGTTTTCTCTTCTTAACCTGTCTTATGTCAATTTAATTGTTAGACTAGCCAAAGAACCTAAAAGGGAAGAAGAGAAAAGTGTTCCTCCCATGCAACTCAAACTATTCTTAGCAGCTCCTTGAAATTTCTTGGCGTACTATGACCCAGAGCACAATTTTAGCTTTCTGAGAGCCAGACCCTCCATGCACAATGACAACTTTTCACTTACTCCAAGCAGTGTTTACCACTGGCAAACTGTTAAACAGCTTTAGGAATCATTTTTCATTTAAAATAATATATAAAAATGTTATCATTTCAATGTGTAACCCAAAGAAATGATAAATTTGAGTTATTTTGAATCCCCTTCTTCCACTAAACTGTCAAAATCCAGTGTGTATCTTACAGCACAGCTCAGTTCAAGTGCTCAATAGCCACATATGGCTAGTAGCTGTTGTACTGTTAGTGCAGATTTAATTATAACATTTTTCTTCTCATATTTCAAAGTTGTTAAAATGCATAGTATTCTGTATTGTGTTTTTGTAACTAAAAGTAAACCAATTTACAGGGTCCAGCAGAAGGAAGGCCTGCTTGAGTGTGGTTGGTAGGGTAATGATATGGGTGTAATAATTTATAGTTTTAATTTGAACATTTCACCTAAAATGTCATATGGTGTGCTTCAGTATGATATTGTTGTTACAAGATTACATGTTTTTTATTTTGTCATAAAAGACTTTGTAATTAAAAAAGGGGCATTATTTGTGCTGGAACCTTAAGTTAAAAAGGAAAATATTTTTTTTTCAAAGGGGGAAAGTAGAAGCAGTGTATAAAAACTATTTTTTTCAAGAGAATTTGCCTGCTAAGTGTAGAACAAAGAGTGGTTAACTAAGGTGACACAGGAAGGAAGGGAGCGCCATTTATTTTCTGGTTTTTAATGAGAGACACTTAAATGCATTTATAGATCAAGGAAGGGAGAAAGAAAGACAGAATGAAAAAGAAAATACAGGAAAGGGATGTTAAAAATTTGAGCATAGTCCATCCTTACCCATTGGTTTGGCTCTCTCCTTATCATAAACAGAGTTCCCGTGTGTATTATATTTGCTTCCAGACTTCCTATTCTGGCCACTGTTCTGATGCTCTGACTGCTCATGTGCTGTTGCCACATTGCTATAGTTATTGAGGCTCTCTCTGGTAGTACCACTATTTCTACCTCATTATCTTCCCTCATCCTTAAGATTTTCTTGCATTACTTATTTTTGTTTGTTTATTTTTTCATATAAATTTGAGAATCAGTTTGTCTAGTCCAAAAAAATCTGGATGATATTTTTTATTGACAAAAATTAATTTTTAGTTGATCAATTCAATTCACATGGATGATGTCCTCCCATTCTCAAATTAAATGTCGCCTCAAACTTTACTTTTAAAGTTCTCTTAACAGTAGGAAGTTAATGATGAAGAAAAATCCTCAAGATGAGGGCAGAAAAATGGGAAGAGTAACATCATGGAAGTCAAAGAAGAAGAAAACTCCAAGACAATGGCAGTGATCAATAATTCCAAATGCTCAGAGAGAATGAATAATATATAGGCAGAAAAGTTTCAATGGATTTGACCACAAGGAAGTCATTAGTAACCTTGATAAGGACAGTTCCCTTGGAGTTGTAGGGGCAAAGGCCCAATTTAAAGGAATGAATAGTTGAAAAGGAATTGGAGACAATGAATCATTCATGTGTATGTGAGTCTGTGAGTATGTGCATCTGTGAGTATGAGTGTGTTCATTGCAATGTAATGGAGAGGGTTTTGGCATTGGCTGGAGCTGCAAAAGTAGGTGGGAGGGGGAGTTTTAAGGTGAAAAAGATGTATGTTCATAGGCTAAAAGGAAGTAACTAGTAGAGAGCAAAAGGGTGAAAATACAAGAGAAGGAAGGTGAAGCAAGGATGAGGAGTTGGGACTGAGAGTACAGGTAGGAAGATGAACCTTGGACCTGAGGTCATTTAAAAAGGAAGAGAAGGTCATGTGTTTGCAGGTGTGAGATGGAGAGCTGATGAAATAAGTTTTCTCTGTCAGATAGAACCAAAGTCAAATACAAGATGCTGAGAGGCACTAATAGGGAAACATGGTGACTGCAATATAGCACCACCACTTGCTTGGCTGTACTCTTTAGTGCATGCACTTGAGCCAAGGATCAACTGAAGATTGACTCAAGTCAGAAGAATGTTGAAGGATAAAGAGGTGAGGGAATAGAAGATGCAGGTAAATTGATATGATTAATCATAGCTTAGGTTATTGGGGTGTCACTGAGGTCAGAAGAGGAACAAAGGACAAGGATAAAGGAATACTGACAATACATAGGGACAAAGAGGAAGAATCAAAGGACATGATGAATTCTACATCATGGCTGGGGACATGGCAGTGTGCTATGAACCAAATATTTTTGTCCCTCTAAAAATCATGTGTTAAAATCCTAACCTCAACACTATGATGATAGAAAGTGAAGCCTTTAGTAGATGACTAGGTCATGAGGGTGGAGCCCTCAGAATGGGGTCAGTGTCTTCTAAAAGAAACCCTAGAGAGCTCCTTCGCCCCTTCCACCACATGAGCATGCAGTGTGAAGATGGCCATCCATGAATCAGGAAGAGAGTTCTCACCAGACACCAAATCTGCCAGCACCTTGATCTTGGGCTTCTAGCTCCAGAACTGTGAGAAATAAATTCCTGCTGTTTATAAGCTGCCCAGTCTATGGGTATTCTACTATAACAGCCCAAATGGTGAAAATACAGTGTAAGAAATGTGAAAAGTTAGGGGGCTGTTTGAAGAGTAAACATGAAAGTCTACAGTTTTATAATTCATCAGTTCCTAAGAAGTGATAATCCCTAGGGTTTAGCTGTAGAAACAGCTAGATGAACTGAATGGAGATGAATATATCTGGAGTTGAAGCATTTTAAGAACCAGCTACTGAATGGATGCATGGACTCTGAAATCAATCCAGATGTTGGCAGAAGTCAGAGTGGAGAGATACTGAGTTACATGTCATAGTTTTGAAGAAAGTCATGAACAAGCCACATTGCATAATGATGTTTTTCAAACTTAAAAAAATACATTTTATGACAAAATATAGTGTGCACCCAAACACACATCATGGCTGAAATAAAACAAGTGTTTTGCAAAAAATTATTATTTTACTTACTAATTTTTATTCTCTTCTAGTCATTCCTTTCTGTTTCATTTGGTTTGGTTCTGTTCTATTTCATCTAAAAATAAATGCTGGTCACAACTCCCTACACTCTCATGCCCAATAATGGGTTGCACAACATCCATGGGTTCTGGATTCAAGCAGTCTAGATTTTAATCCTGGTTCTTTTGGTTATTACTAAGATCGCCTTAAACAAGTTACTTGACTGTTCACTTGGAACAGCATCTGACACAATACACACTAGCTACTATTAACAATGTGAAGTATCCTTCAGGGTTAGCAAAAGCTGCAATAGTCAGGGGACAGAGATGGCAAACGAGGGTGCTCTCTCTGGAATGGCAGAGAGGAAAGGGATCACCTGCACCACTTCCCACCTGCTGGGGTGTGGTGTGTGTGAGAACGGCAGCCAGGACACATAGCTCCCACGGAGAAGCAATGATCTCAAGAGCAATCAAGAGTAAGGGGAACACTCTGCCCACCCACACCAGAGTGGGGCTTCCAGAAGGCAAATATTTAGGAGAGAAAGGAGACTTCTTTGTCAAAAGGGAATGATTTATTTTCTTTCTTTTTTTAGATGCAAAAGTGAGGATTTATTCTAAAATAGAAAAAGAAATCACAACATATTGCAAAATTTTAAAAGCTATATAAACAACATAAAACCCCCCAAAAAGAACATGCTATTTTTATTAACTGCCTGTTAACTTTTTCCCCTTAACTTTTTTTTTGAATTTCATACTTGTTGGCCTCTTCAAATGACATGGTTTTGTAATAATTTCTATAAAAAGAATTGCCATTCAGTAACACATGATCATTGCACATATTCACACAATACAGAGAAAATTGCCTATAACCTCAACTTCCAGAAACCAATATTAACACAATGGCACATTCTTTGGAGACATTTTATGCATATATATACTATATACATATGTTATATTTGTGTACATAAATACATACACACATATGTATGCTTATATAGAGGAAACACACCATTTCTTTCACTGAATATTTTGTGGACATATTTCACTATCAATATATGAAGAAGCACTTAGCTCTCTAATGGATAAACAGACCTGTAGGACAATATTCACTGGGACACTGTAATGCCCACAATATATTAACCCACCCTGACTAACTGATACCTTACCTACCCCTTTTGTTATTACTATAAACGATGTTGCAATGAGACATCCTTAGGCATTGATCTCTTTCCATTTGACCTATTAGTTACCTAGGATAAACTGGAGTAATTTAAGATAAACTGCTGAGTCAAAAGGTATGGATATTTAATATTTAAAGTCATATTGCTAGATTGTTCTCCAAAACCATTGTGATATTTATCATTTCCTTAACAATTTATGAGAGTGCTTATTTTCCCACATCACTGAATACTATTCATCTTTTTAAGCCTTTGCCAATATCCCATATATAAAAATGATCTTGCATTTTTAAGTTGTGTTTTTGTTAGTACCTGCCCACTTGCTGACTGGACATGTATGTGTCTTCCATGACTTGCATGATTTTCTATTTGGGGCTTGCTTATCCTTTTGTCCTTGTGTCATGACTTATAAGGATCCTCATGTAGTCAGACTATTCATCTTTTGTTAGTCATATATGTAGTGATTACCTTTTTCTTCAGTTTGCAACTTTTCCTTCCAAAAGATTTATGGTTTTGGGGTTTTTTTTTCTTTGCATAGGAGTTTTATTTTTTAGAGGTAATATAGATATCTTCCCCTAGGTTCTAAAGAAGGTACTTTTTAGTTTTGAATTGGAACCACTATGAAACTATCTCTAAGACTGGGAACCTATAAATCATTTTGAGTTTATCAACATCACAATTTATATCCTTCACTTTTGCTCTCACAACATCTGATGAGTTTGTGTGTGATGGCAAAATACTGCCTCGCAAAGGAGAAATGCAGGAAATTACACTTCTGAGAATTTCACTGAAATTCACTTTAAAAGAAACAGACAAAATTAAAAGAGAAGTAAACTCTCCAAAGCTCAGTTTGAGGCAGCAAAGTCAGGTCCCAGCATACCGTTGACTGAGTGCCGCGTGGTCCCATGGAATCCCACACGGAGCATCCAGGGACAGTCAGGTTGGAATCCCATTCCAACGCCTTTCCACTGTGTGAAAATGAGCTCCTCTCACCACATCCCTCATTTAGTGAGAGAGGCTCCCATTTGTAAACAAGCTTTTGTTCTACTCCAAGTTTAGGCCAGATTTTACACTTGATCTGGAAATTCTCTGACTATGTTCCCATTCCTGCCTTAAAAGCTCTCTCTGTATGGTGGGCATGTTTACTGGATTGGTTGGACTGTATTGATAGCCACATGAAGTCGAGAACTTGGTGACCATATTGAGAATCAAAGAGCTTCCTAAAACTTGGGGTAAACACAGGCCTCAATATTAGAGCATATGAATGGGACTATCCAATATAATTATTCCCTTTAGAAGCAAATATAACTGAGTGACTAGAATCTATACAAGTAGTAGCCCAGAAAACAAAAGATTTGAGAAAGATTCTGACCCAAACCTCTGAATTTTGTAAATATGGGCTCATGATAAACAATTTCTCCTGAAAAACTTAACTGGGGAGTATTATCTTTATAGTAGATACACTTAATCTAGAAAAGGTATCGATTGCTTATGAAGGTAGAGCCTGCCACCCCCATGCCAATCAGATATACAAACAGTGGCCCCGACCTCTTGGCCAGGCCCTCGGCATCTCATGGAAACAGGAGCCCACTGAGATGGCACTCTGCCTGAGGGCTCCTTCACTCACCTCAGGAAATTTCTTTTTCTGCACATATTCCGTGGTGGCAGCATCAAAATACTTGGCATAGCCCTCATTGAGGCTGTAAATCTTTCCTTTCTTTTTAATTTTGACTTCTTTTTCCACCAGAATAAATTCACCAAGAGCCTAGAAAGTTGAAGAAAAATACCAGTAAGAAGAGAGATACTAGAAGCCAACAGCACACTCCCCAACAATGAGAAAACATTAAAAGATGTGGGCATCCTGGAAGGACCCAGAGTGTTGCCAAGTACCCTGGAAGCCTGTCCAGTGATATTTTTATAAGTTGTATAAAAAACAGTGACAATATTGAGTCAGCTAGACTACTCATTTATGAGGAACCTAGTTGCATTTATCCTCCAAGTTATCACCCTCTGTTAATCCTAATATTTTCAGGGAGACTTGGGTCATCAGCAGTGAGAGGAAGAAGTTACACAGGTAAGATTTGTCATAAAGATGGGGATGTAGTTCAACCACTATTTTGTGGTCCAGTTATTACATCTTAATGATTTAATTTTGGAAGTCATTAAAAGTTCCTGGTATCCCAGTGACTCTTATATGGGGTAAAGAGGAAATTCCTTCAGTCAGAAACCATATGCACTTGGCAAAAGGAATAGTTGATAAAAAATAAAGAAATCCGCAGAAATATAAATAAAATTGTGCCCAGTCCCTCTATAGTCACCATGGCCACTATCTGTTGGACAGTCCCTGTGGATGTGATTAGCTAGCTGCATGTATCACCTTGAAAGACTGGATGTCTCCCTAAGTCACTAGAAGGGAAATCAGGGCCTGGAAATCTAATCAATTTTGATAAATTTTGAAGACTAAGAAAGTGAAAATCCTCCAAGATGACAGCTCACAGCTGGTACCTAGACTAGAAGGTCCCCAATGAACATAGATGACATTCCCATAATATAAAGAGACAAGGTCATGCTGGCGATGTATGAAATACAATAGTGGCCCACAGTGACAACAATACTCAGTGACTGCAAAAATAACTAAAGATCCTTCTCTGCTGGGAGTGATGACTGTTTCTTTGCCAGTGAATCCCTACCATCACTTTAATTTTCCCACCTCCTTGATAAAAATTATTGATATATAATCATTAATTGTACCCACTTCTAGGACAATACCCAATCTAGAGCTAACTCTTTCTCAAATCCTCCTTAGTCTCATCAAGCAAAATATGTGCTATTATGAACCCACTGCAACACCCTCTTAGCACAACCCACGGTTCCTCTATAGTGCATTTTCCATTGCTCAGTCAACCTAACTTACTTTATTATAGCTATGTTATTGATGGTCTCTGGTTCAAGGTCAGGCACTTGACTTAGTGTGGTAAATTAGATACTCCTCCCTGGCATTTGAATAAGAGACAGAATCAGGAGTGGTGTTCAGACCAGACTTGCTGCGCTGCCAGACGATTCGTGTGATTGCTATTTCCTGGTGCTCTGGACCTGCCCATTTCTAGCCTGGGGCTTCATTCAGCTTTTCCATGAATACAGCAGAATCCTGTATTTCATTGAACCAGAATCCTTTTCTCTCTTGCTTATTAGTAAAGAGCAAGACATACAAGAAACTGTTGTCTAAATAGTGTCATTCACTGGTGTATCCACCTCTGGACCTGGGGGTGGAGATACTCAGGCACCTAGAGAGTTGTTCCCTACTGTGGGAAGGAGATGGGTGTGGAGTCTTGCCCTAACTTGGAAAATATATTCCTTTGTTTTAACACTGTGAACCTTAACAGCCACTGACTATTAAAAATCTTCCTACAACTTTGAGGAGAAGGTATCTCATTATTTGTCTCTCAGAAACAGTGTCTGCCATTTGCAAATGAATGACTTGACATTGTGGTTTATACCACAGTTGAGAATTTGGTTAACATGAGGTGGTCCCTCTGTGCCTGAACACAATGTATTCTCTGACAAAATCAAATCATCAGCTCTGCAGACTCACAGATCAGACAGGCTGTTGATGACCCACCAAGGAACTCGGTCCCATTAGGCCCTGCCTGAGTAATCTGCTGGCCACTCTCCATGATTTTTCTATGTGTGACAACTGTCATAAGCTACTTCAGCTTGAAGACAACCTCCCAAACACGCCCTAAGCTTCTTACTCTGGGTCTTTGCTCAAATGTACTTTTTAGTATGGTGATGTGATCCAAAGGAATTGCAGGCTAATAAAAAAAGATTAGCAGAAATTATACAGGGGGTTTTCTCTTTTTTCTGAAGTGCAGTCAAGCTCTCAAGCTTACTTATGTTAAGTTGGACCCCTAAGCCAAATGTACCTACCTATTGCCTTTAGAGTCACTTCAGAATATTCTTGGAGATACTTTGCTTGCAATAAAGAGAAGTTTACTAAAAATTGGTAAAATAGATAAGCACAAGACTGCCTGAAAATAAGTGTTCTGGGACCAATTCCAATGTGTGTATGTCTCAGATACACCAGCAGGGCATCTGAGAATCCAAATTGATTCAACTCAACTCTGACCCTATCTCCCAAGAGAAAGCATCAAATTCCAGGGCTTAAGAGTTCAATATTATAGGATTGCCTCACCCTCCACTTCAGATGCCAGTCCCAAGCTTAGGTTTTTACCTGTGCTTCTGACTGACTGGCTATAAATCGGAGGTATTTTAGAAGACCCAGGTTTGATCAAACCTTCTCAGGTTTGATTAATTTGCTAGTATGGCAAGAAATCAGACCAATATTTTACTTACCAGATTACCAATTTATTATAAAAGGAACATATATCGCACAGGAACAACCAGATTGAAGAGATGCATAGGTCAGGGTATAAACAAATGACTTAGACCTTCCATGCCCGCTCCAGGCACTCTACTCTCCTCAGTCTCCATGTGTTCACCACCAGAAAGGTCTCTGAACACCATCTTTCAGGGTTTTTATGGAGGCTTCATTGCATAGGCAAAACTGATTAAATCACTGGCCATTGGTGGTTGAGTCAATCTCCAGCCCCTCTCCCCTCCCTGGAGGTCAGAGAGTAGGACTGAAAATTCCAACCCTTTAATCACATGGTTGGCTTCATTGATAACAAACCCCTATCCTTAGGTGCTTTCTGCAAGTCACCTCAATAACATAACAAAACATACTTTCATCATTCCCAACACTTAGGAAATTTCAAGGGTTTGAGGAGCTATGAGCCAGAAACTATGGACGAAGATCAAATATATATGAGAAATATATTTTGGTCATCTGAATGACTACATATACACATTTCTTATAAATCACAAAATCATAGCCTGAGTGTGACTCTTGGTTCCAGGGCTACTAGCATAACCTTGGGCAAATTACCTTCTCTGTGTCTCACTTTCCTTATCTGAAAATGGAAATAATAGTAGGACCTACCTTAGGGAACTGCTGTAAGGTTTAAACACATTAATACATATAAAGTGCTTGAAGCAGATATTTATCCACCACTTAATAAGCCCTGTATAACTGTCGGCTATTTTTCCAGAACAGTTTTAGAAAGGTTTTTTTTTTTATTGTCTGAGAGTAATATTTGTGAACTATAGAATTTCTCCAGTTTTGCTTGTTCCTTTGAAAATAAGGAGAATTTAAGAGATAAGCAAACTGAAACATCAGTGGGTTTTGATCTGATGAGTTTATATGTGAAAATTTACAATTGAAAAGATACTGGCTTTCCATACCATAAAGTTTAGTTAACTCTGTTTTGAAATTTTTTAACCCCTTCCTCTCCACACCCAGGCACCGACATGTAAACTCCACTGGGGGGCGGGGGAGGGGAGTGTTTGCTTTATCAGTGTTGTACCTGTGCCTAGAACAGTGGTTTGGGGCATATTAGATGTTCGATAAACATCTATAAATTCAAGTTAAATTGAAATACTGAACAAACGCTTTTGACTTACTGAATACTAGAAACTTTGAAGTGATCGTGGTCAAAATTATTTGAATTTTCACAAGACCTCACTATATTTGGCAAAGTAGTTCACAAATGATAAGCAAAGTATCCAGCATTTTAAAGAAAAATTCTGTTATAAATATTTTACAAATTTTCTGCTGATCGTTTTTAATGTACGCTTGCTATGAAAATACAGCCTTATTTTTTTTAACTCTTTTGCCTTTATCCATTTATTTCTTTCTTTATTCTTCATCATGCTGCCTGATTTTTCACCTATCCTGAAAATGTGTCTCTTGCCCTTCTACTACTGAGCGTTTTCTCATCGTGAGACATAAGAGGCTAACACAGAACCTGAGAAAGCAGTTTCCTACCAGTCTCTCCTCCTACTGAGAAGAACATGTAGATTAGAGGACGACCTCCAAACCCGTGCTGTCCAATAGGGTAGCCACCAGTCACATGTAGCTTTTAAGTTAATAAAGATGAAATAAAATTATAAAACCTGGATCCTCAGTCACATTAGCCTCATTGCCAGTGTTCAATAGTCACATGAGACTAGTGGCTACTATTTTAGACAGCATAGATCACAAAACATATCCATTGTCACAGACAGTTCTATTAGAAGGTGCTTCTCTGAAGAATTCATGTTTCTGTCTGGAAATCTCAGTGTCTGGTGCAGCATTGAGATTCTTAAATCATGGTGTTCCCATGAACCAAAGAGGAATAAACTCTTTAAAAACAGGGCCTAAGTTTATAGGACTGATACTATACTGTAGGACCCCTCAAATTCCCTCATTTGGACAAAGGTCCTTAATATTTTTATATGATGTTTTGGCTCCCGAACTAGATCACCTGACCCCAGAAGCAAGTATTAAGAATGACCAGGAAATTATCCAGGGATTAGAATTGAAGTACAGAGCTCCATGGAGTCCCAAGTGTTGATAATGCCATGCTGGGTACTTACTGGGTCAAGCATGAAGAGGTCCACTCCTTGCCCAGTGGAGAGAGCCACCAGGGTTGCGCTGCCATAGAGTGCATAGCCTGCAGCAACAATATTGCGGCCTGGCTGCAGGGCATCCTTTTCAGAAGGCTCATCCTCTGAAGTCTGAGGAAAAGGAGAGAAACATGGTGCATTATTGTGTCTGGAGAGAACCCTTGCCAAGGAGAGGGCTTCTTAACTCTCCTGAAGAATAACTTTTAAGGGTAAAATAATAATTTGTATTGATATGGGACTCTATATGTTTCAAAATGCTTTCACATTATCTTTCTTTGAAACAAGGAAGAGGCTCAATACCCCTTATTTAAAAGAGAAGGGATGGAGGTTGGAGAGGCACTCGCACAGCATCGTGAAACCAGTGAGTGATGAAGCTGGGACTGGACCCACGTTTTCTGCAGCTAAGCCAGCATCATTCTCAACAACTGATGCAATATAGGGTCAGTTTGCCCTCTGCTAGTAACATCCGAACCACTTTATCTTAAAACCAAATCTTATCCTTCTTTCAGGATTTCATTGAAGTGTCACTTTCCCTTTAATATTTTTATTATTTTAGTATTTTTCTAGGGCTACAAGTTAATTCAATTAAAAATGGCATATTCCTTTTAATATTTTTCCTTACTTTTACAGCCTTGCATTCTTTCTAAGATTTTTTTTTTTACAACTAGGTTATATTTTCTTTTTTTCTTTTTCTTTTTTAGTTTAGTAATTACTTTTTTCTTTCTTTCTTTCTTTCTTTCTTTCTTTCTTTCTTTCTTTCTTTCTTTCTTTCTTTCTTTATTTTTAAATACATTTGTCTCTGCCTCTCCGCCACCACTTTCCCTTGCCACCTCCCTCCTTCCCTCCCTCAGCTCTTCCCCTTTGGTTTTGTCCATGAGTTCTTACAACTAGGTTATATTTTCAATTGACTTGTGTGTATGCACTCAATAATTGGATTTATTTCCAGATTCCCAGGCCATATATGGATGGATTCTGAAAAGCTGGCCCCAGAGCAGTGTTTCCCTCATTGGCTATGCATATTCTTGGGACATGCCCCATGCCTCCAGAATCAGAAATGCTGGGCCTTCAGAATTGGCCCTCCTGGTAATTTTGATGCACACAAAAATTTTAGAAGAACTGCTTTAAAGCATGGTCTCTTAAGAACGTTCAGGGGAGTAAGAAGGCAAAGGTACCTTTAGGTTTTTAGTTGAAATCTTTAGTTTTCCCCATTGAAGCTTTTAAAACACCTTTGTTCAGTCACCAAAAGGATTGCATTTTCTGTATAGGAACCCGATGTTCTCCCACACCAGAGATTTTCCTTTCTCTGAGCAGTGATCCTGTAGCCTGGGCTGAGCATAGCACCCTCTCCTTGGTTTTTGGGAACTTGCACTGTGGCTTGAAGAGAATCCCTCCTGCCCAACTCCTTCCCCTGGTCTTGAATTACCCGAAGAATCCCTGGCCTTAAAAATTAACAAGAAATGCTTTCTAGATCCCAAGACTTCCCTCCAGCTGCTGTCCTATCGCTGCCTTCATCAATATCCTGGAGCAGCAGCTGTCCCCAACCATTTTGGCACCAGGCTCAGGTGAGCTGCAATCTCTCACTCGCCCATGGGGCCGTGGTTGGGGGAGGCGGTGGCACAGGCCAGCAGAAGGCCAGGTTTCTAACAGCACAGGGGACCCTGGGAGTCTTGGATGCCTGTCCACACCATCTTTCTTCTCCTGTCTCCACTGCAGGCTGCCAGATGTGACCCTACTACTAAATCTGGTGCGTTTTTGCCATTATTCCTCCTGCCTGACCTCTAGGCAGTGTTGGATCCCTTAGCTGCTGCCGCCTTCTTGAGATGCATCTCTTCAGAGCTTCTGGTCATTTCCCTCTTTGTCTGGCTTTCTTTCTAATACTGTGCACGTGCCTTCTTTTTTGCTTTTTCCAGCTCCTTTTTTTAAGTGCTGGTGTTCCTCCTGGTTCCTTCCCAGTCTTTGAGTGTCTGTCCAGTGCAAAATGGACCTTCTTCATCGCCACCCCACCCACAGCAGGGACCCTCCGCTGCTATGTTTGTGTTTTGAGATCCCCACAGTTTAATGGGATCTGGGATGCATTCCTGACCCAAACTGGCCCAGTCAGAGTCTCTGCTCCAGAAATCTATACTTGGAGCTAGAACATTCTGGTTGGTGGCAACTTGGGAGCTGTGAGGTGACCATCTTCCTTCTGTGATTGGCCAAAGAATCAGAAAAAGTATAAAACTGGACTGTAGAGGGAGGAAGAAGTATAGTAGCCATGGGAAGGCAAGATGATAGACTTGGAGGATAAAAGCTCTGCCAGCTTGGCCCGTCTCTGGCCCAGGCCCTCTCTGAGGCTGGTCATATGTCTGTCTTGGGGATTCCTGATTCACCCTGCCATTTATATCAGAGTCCTGACCAAGAAAGCTCTCTTCTCTTGTCATTCTAACCATCTCCTCAGCAATCTCACCCACAACCAAAGTTTCAAGCTCTACTCAGGTGTCAATGCGCTTACACCTCCATCTTCATCTTTCCTGGTGGCCCAGCTTTTGGAGCCACCTAACCACCAGACATCCTTACTCAGGTATCCCACCAATGCCTCAAGCTCGACATGTCAAAGACAGAATTCACCTGCCCTATCTCACCTCCCAAATTTCCTGCTCTTCTCACATTGCTCCCCATCTGAGAAAACAGCACCATCATCTGACCAGTATAAACCTAGGACTCACCCTTCTCCTCCTTTCCCTAACCACGACCTCCACTCAGTCATTAAGTCCAGTCACTTCTACAACCCACTCTTCATAGGTCCAAGCCCTCCTGTCTATCTTCACCACTACTCCTTGGTCTGAGGGACCATCACCTCGGCCTAGTCTTCCCACTCTGCTCTTGCCTCGCTCAGGTGTATGTCAATTCTCTGTTTAAAACACTTCATTGATGTCCCACAGCCTTGATGTCCAATATTCTTAACTCATTTTACCAGGTCTTCCATGATCTGACCCCTGCTGGGCAGGCCAGCCTTGTTCAACACCTCTTCCCCCACCCCTAAGCCTTATGTGCCTTATGTGGCAGCTTCAGTGAGCTTCTTTATCTTGTTTGAATATTTACCTTACATCTGAGCTCCAGAACGCCACCTGTGCCCTTCTTTCTAGCCAGAAGGCCTTCTCCTCTCTCCTCTCACCATTTGCCAGAGGAACTCATAGTTATCTTTCAAATCTCAAATGAAACATCAGCTTCTCTGTGGAGGCCTTTTCTGACTCTCCAGGTACTCAATGCTTCTCCTCTGAAGCTTCATTAGTGTGCTTAATGTCTGATTTCCTAAATAAACTGTCAGCTCCACAGTGGCAGGCACTGACTGTCTTGATCATGTCTTTTTCCCTACCACCTACTACAATCTGGCCCATGGTTGTTGCATTCAACTGATGTACACACACATACACGTGACTTGTAAATTTATACACATGCATATATATATATATATATATATAAAAAGTATGCATACATACTTTTTCATGAGCATGCTGTACTGTCAATTGCATGGGCACCCCCAAATTTAATCAACCTCTGTTGTTAAAGTTTAGAGGTTTTTCTACTTTTAAAAACATTTTATTTAAAATATATAGGGTGGGACAAAAGAGGTTTAGAGTTGTAACTACATGAAACACATCTTATTATTTATTAATTATTGTATTATTTTCCATATGAACAACTGTAAACCTACTTTGGCCCCACCCTGTATATATAGATTCAAAGGAAGTTGTGCAGATAGTTCAGAGAGCCCATGCACCTTTCACTCAGTTTCCCCCAATAGTTACATATTCTATATATTACTATAAACATGTTATAGTACAATATCAAAACAAGGAAACTAGCATTCTATTTTTAAGTGTGTGTATAGCTCTGTGCCATTTTATCATGTGTAGATTTATTTATCTACCACCACATCAAGATACAGAACTACTCCATCATCACAGATATTTCCCCAGTGCTGCCTCTTTAGAGTCACACCTGCCCTTTTTCCCACCATCTCTGACCCCTGGCAATCACTGATCTCTTCTCCATCTCTCCTGGGAACCATCCGCCTGGTTTCTTGCTGACTGGTGAGAGGGTCCAAAGGGTGGAGCTGAGCAAGGAGGCCTTAGGAAAATAGGCTACTGAGGAGATGAAACCTGTCCCCCTGGCAGGGGCACAGCCCCTGCCTCCCTCACATCACCCTGCTTGGCCCCAGAGGATGGCTAGTTAGTCAATGATGGGTAAGACCCCTTGATGACAAGGGCAACCTAAGACAGGCACAGTCGCATGGGATCTATCAGAGAAGGACTTGGGGGACATGGAGAAGGGGCAAAAGACCCTCACCCCTCAGCTTTGTCATGGCCAGAGTCCTCATTCTATCTCAAAGAAGTCTTCTTATCCCCTCACTGACCAGGTCAGGCAGCTGGCTGCTCTGCCCGCTACCTGACCTGGTCAGTGAAGCAATACTAAAGGCAGGTACAGACCTAAACTGGATCAGGCGGTTCCCAGGGTCAATTAGGCCTGGAAAAGGAATGCATTAAATCCTATGAAACTTACTTTGCTAAGAATGCCCTCGAGTTAATGAGTACTGATGTTTGGGGTCCAAGCATAGAGTGTAATCAGTTTCCCAGGTTTCAGGGCCGAATGGGAAACTGTCTACCAGACCCTGACCTAAGGTAAATCTCTGTGTTCCTTCAATCATAGCCTTTTGACATTAATTGATGAGCTTTGCATGCATGCTGTATACCCCTGCACATATCCTTCTCAATAAAAGCCACTTTAAGAGAAGTGCTCAGGGCATTCTCCACTAGAGGGAATAGCCACCCCCTTTTCCTAGCAGACCAAGAAGTGTCTGGAAGGACTTCTTTTATTTTCCTCCATCCGTGGTGATCTGGGAGGACTCTGCAGGAACAAGGTACCCCAATCGCATCTCTATAAATATGTCATTTTGAGAATGTTACACAAATAAAATCACACCACTTGTGATCTTTTGAAATTGTTTGTTTTTTTTTCACTCAGCATCATGCTCTTGAAATCCATCAAAGTTGTTGTGTCTATCAATGGTTTATTCAAATTTATTGCTCAGTATTTCTGCATGGCATGAATGTAATACCATTTAACCATTC